ACCTGCTCGTGGCCTCCAGCTGAAGCTGCGTAGAGTGCATTGCCGAAGTATCCACCCTGCGCATTGATGTCGGCGTCTTTGTCGAGCAGCATCTTGACTACCTGCTGGTGGCCTTCAGCTGAAGCTGTCTGGAGAGCGTTGCCGTAGCGTCCACCCTGTGCGTTGACATCGGCGCCTTTGTCTAGCAGTAGCTTTGTAACCGTACGCAAGCCTAACTGTGCTGCGTAGTAAAGGGGCGTGGGTATCTTTCTGAGAGCTTTCTCGAAGTCCGGCTCTTTCCAAGGCTCGTCTGGATCGCATAACTGGATCCAGGCAAGATACGCAGGATGGTCTATGGAAAACAAACTGATCGTTAGCTGACTCATTGCTTCCATCCTGTCTCCTGTCTTTCGAAGATGACTGCTCCAGAATTCTGCTGCGTATCTTGCGAGCGCGAACATCCCAAGAACTTTTGGTGATAATGGCTGCTGGAACTGCATCAGGTACTTCAAAGAACCTTTCGCTATCGCGTTGTGGCAATCAATGTCCTGCATGCTGTACTGCTTTGCTTGTCCTTGCTTGATCCTGTCTGAAACAAGGTACTCTTGGACCGAATAGTGCGCTAGAGCGATGATCCGTTGGGCAGGCCTTGCTCTTCCTTCCACCTTGTTCATGGTAATGGTGACTAGACTAGGGCAGATATTCAGCGCTTCTAATGGGTCTTCTAGCATTTCATCGCGGTCGAACGCTGGGTCACGTGCCACGTCGATGGCAACGACTTCGGCGACCTCTTCAACAGACAGCGACCGGGCAGAGAAGGTTAGCCATTGAAGGATGCGTAAGGCATACTCGGAGTCTTCTTCGCGGATTGCGCAGAGGATGCGGTCGTATGTCTGGTCCAGCGTTGGCGGCAAAGTGGCGAGGGACTTGCGTAGCATCGCTCGATTGCGACAATTACCTAATGTGTCAAGTTGACATGCAGCCCATCGGAACCTATGCTGTCGTCAGTTGTAGGTCTGCTGGGGCTTGGGTCAACACACGTACATTCCACGAGCTCCACACATCAGTGCAGCCTCGATCTCTTGCCTGATAGCAGCGTCCCTCTGCCATTTGACTAGGCTCTTGTCGTCAGACAGCCTTTGTTGAACGTATCGCTGTATGTCCTTGTCCACTACGTCGCTCTGAAGACAGACGGTATCCTCTTTATCTACATAACTTTCTAAGGAGCTCTCGATATCCCGCTCTTTCCGGCTGGTCATAAGCAGATGCAAGTTATGAAGCTGCCATCCAGCCACTATCTCAAGCACGTCCAGCAATTCTGAGCGTTGCGTACATTCGTCGAGAGCATCAAGAACAATATAGACCTGCGTAAACTCTTGCATTACCTGCTGTGTTACCTCTAGAAGTGCATGCAGTGACAGTTCTCGTTGTCCGTTCTCGCAAGAAGAGAACAACACGTCAAGGCTTCTGGGTATCAAAACGGAACGCTGCAGGAGCTGGCAGAGCAATGAGCGGAGCATCAGCTCTGGATCTTGTTTCTGTGTATTGTTGAAATCGAAGTAGAAGTACGCCGTCACCATATCAGTGTTCTCGTGGCAGTGCTGCAGCAGAGTCTCGATGATGGTAGAGCTCAAGATAGTCTTTCCACATCCTGGAATGCCGTACAACCAGAGCCGCGATGCTGGACTTCCCTTCCATTCCGTGAACTTTGCGCTTTCCAGCAGCCAAAGTCCAGTCTCAGCCTGCCGCTGCTTGTGCGCTTTGTAGTAGTTTGTGGATGGATCTGGCGCAGAGAGCCATTTGCAAAACTTGCTAAGCCTCTCTTCTTGGCTTTGGCTGTAAGTCTCGGTGCTATTCACAGGAGCACTCGCAATGTCTTCGGAAGACTCCCGTATCTCTTTCATTAGCCGTTTTAGTGCCTTCTCTTTGCCTTCGCCATAGATCAGCGGTAGATGACAGCCGAATATGCCTAACAGACAATACGCTCCATCCTCTTCGCGTGTCGTCCGGCGATTTTCTGTCCAAGAGAAACGCTCAGCTACGCTAAACTCAGACAATCGCCACCCTGGCAAAGCATCGATGGGTATTCCTGTGATCTTGTGAATGGTGTGCTTAAGCGACTCCTTGTCCCCTAGCCGCGCTCCCTCTTTAGAGAAGAACTCGACCGATTTAGGAGCAAGAAGTTCCTGGAGTGTCCAGCCTCGGGTAAACCATCTGCTCTGCTTGAGAGCTGACTCACCATCCCCATCTTTAATGTTGTTATTGACGTCTGAAAGGTAGACGTAACACCTCTCTGCGTTCTGATACCAACGGAACATAGTGTTGATCGCTTCTTGAAGCTCTGAGCTGTTTGACTTGTCGATGCAGCAGGTGTCTACCCAGAAGTAGTCCAGACCGTTACGCTTTGCCTGCTGTGCGCAGAAGCGAAGCTTCTGATATCCCTCCTTGTTTTGCGCATTAATGTCTTCCACATTGTCGAGATTCTTCAGATCGTCGAAGGTCACCTCCTGCCCCTCCTGCCAGGTGTGCGATAGGATCGCATAGGGAGGGATTTTGCCGCTGATCAAGTCCTCGGTCGAGCTGAGCCTCCCGTCGCTTGAGGTGTATAACAGTCGCATCGAGCCGTGTATGTGTCTATATGTGCGAGCGGTGGAATACGGACTTGAGGCCTTGAAGCAGGCTGAAGGAATCTATAGCGCACGGCGGCTCGCTCGCGCACGGCGTGGAGATCGTAGCTGTCGGGTTCGTTTGTGAGCGCTAAGGAACAGGTTATTAAGTCAGAGTTGAAGGAAGGGCCTTCACAGTGCCGCATTGCAGAAAGCTGCTTGTTGGGGTAAGCTGCGGTTCAAACACTCAGAACGGAAGGCGCAGCCTGCCTGCGCCGTGATGTGAGGCGGCCGAGCAGGGCTGACAACACATGATCGCGCGATAGCCACAACTGCAAGCAGAGAGGCAGTTCTCGTCTGAGGATGCGATGCGATGGTGCAGAAACAGCGAGTCATAGGCCTTTGTTGAAAAGCACATCAGAATGTCTGTGTAGCGTGCTGGTTGTGCAAGGACACACTGGCCTCAGGGACTCTATGCCGCTGTTCTAGTGCGGGCTGGCACGACCCACCTAACGCACTGGGTACCATCAGCATGCGCCACATCCATCTTTGTAGTCATACAGGGTAGACATGGCATTGAATTCATTACAATAGAATACAGCGATATATAAGCGCGCTAATGCCGGCTGATACATGCCAATATGCATTGGCAAACCTCGCCAGCTCGGGCCTGCTTCCTGGAATCTCCTCCGCAATACGGGGCTCCCGGCATGCTCGCTCCTAGGTCAAATAGCCTTCAAGATCTTAAAGATGATCATTCCTTGATCACACTTTCTGCTTGGCTCTCCGATCGCTCAAGGGGGCCCGAAAAGTCGCGAATGGACAGGGGGGTATCGCTGAAGAGTTGATTGACGACGTTGTTGAAATGATCGACAGCACGGCCAACACCGCAGTAGTCCTTGTCTGAGACTGGTTGGATTAAGGAACAGTAGCTGGAAAACTATTATGTATTAGTTACAGTTTGACAAGCCTGTGAAGAGGACACTCCGAGGGTCCGAGCTACTAACCTGTCTCGCGACACAGTGTCTCGTCACCCAGGGACGCACCTTATTGAGGAGAAAGCAGACTCTATCCTTCATAAAACGGGACTGCAGCTTCCACTGTAAGATTACAAATATCCCGCGTCATCATGGCCACCAACCGCGCCGCCAAATACAATGCGCACTTCTCCTCGAAGCAAGAACTTCGCCTCGTCTTTACATCTCTAAACGGTGACAACTCATGGCTTCTATCCTTCCCTCGACCTGTCACAGAGCGCGAGAGTACAGGCAAAGCATACCTGCGCATCGTCCACGACCCTGGCTCAATGGGCCTGACATCCAACTCTCGTCGTGGGTGGTCCACATCACTTTATCATCCACGCCAGCCGTCAGCAACGAAGCAGGCGTTGAAAGCCTCGTGCAGCAAGTTGAACAGGCAGCGGCAGAAGCAGGCATCGTTTCGCCTCTTCAGATTGACACGGCGCGAGGAAGGAGTTCATGGTCGAAGAGGTGCGGAATGGGAAGTGTTTTGTGCTAGTGCAGATGGGGTCTTGAGTGAGGCTGCCAGAGTACTGGTGGTTCTTGGAGGCCACTGTATTGAGAGTGTGGGTGGTGTGATCCGCGTTGACTGTCGTTCAGTTGACTCTTTCTGCAATGTTTGAAAAGGGTTTCTAATGCTCGTTGGTGGTCGGTCTTGCAGGACGTAAAGGGCCTCATCAGGCTCCTGGACGTTCGTTCAGGCTGGCCGTCCGGAGCTCGAAGATTGCGTAGTTAGTTTGTTCTCGTCATGACGGAAATTCGCGCAATGCGTGTCCGCATTCGTTGTCTTGTGGTACGCAGAGCCGCATGTGTACAGAGGTATGAGCCGCCCTGGAGAGCGAGGCTCGCTAGCTGCAAAGATGCAGGACGATGCATGTTGCAGGGCTTAGCGACGACTTGACGTCGGTGCGATGAGGTACTTTTCGGTACCGGCATCGTTGTCCCGCTGCGAGGCACTCCACAAGGCTGGTTCGCGAAAGTTGTCAAGATGGGCTAGTGTGTAGCACTCAGCCTTGTGACAGGGCGCCGGGAATATCTAGTTGCAGCAACGAGACGGTTGACCACTCATGTGGTCGCACGTGCAGGGTGCAATGCATGTCCGGTTAGACAGCTTGATCGTGGGAAGGGCAAGGGCACTGACGCGGATTTGAGTTGAGATCGAAGGAGCCGTGAGCACAATTGCGTGAGCGGGACGTGTAGTGCCCGAGGCAATATACTTACATCCGTTGAGGTGAGGCAGCACAATCAAACGTGCGGTTTGAAGGACAAACAGCCTGTGGTGGGCGTGAAAGTCGGCTTGGATGATAGGAGTCATCACGTCTACACGGCTGTCGGAAAGTGAAGGCTTAGGAAGAGGTCCTGAAGGCAGCACTGGTGATTGCCCTTCTTCCCCACCATGACGATTGCTTTGACTCCAGCAGCAATTGACCGCATCCCGCCTGACAGCATCTCATCTCGACTTTCATCATTAAGGATCGACAAATAACGACAACATACGTTCGTACGACATACCTGCAGGGGTATATCACATGTGGGTTCCAACGCGCAGTGCCACAATATCCCTTCCGCAAGGCGCAGTTCTTCCAGAAGCCTTCCTTATTCACTCGCGGTATAATCCCGCAAGTGCATCAAACCCACATCTCGACACCTGTTGCATATCATCTGCAAGCCTCCACATTTGATTTGATACAGACACATGAGCGGGGAATTGTACCCGCAGACAGGTGAACGCTAGTCTGTCCGTTTTGGCTGACCGGCCGCAGCATGTTGCAGCGTGACCACCTTAACGCCCTTGCCCATCATGGCTTCGGCACAAAAGTTTCTCAGCCGAACATTTCTGACACGAGGAACACACTAATTGACGAATAACGGCCAGAAATGTGATAACGCTGCGCGAGCCTACTCGTTCACGGTCCTGCGACCACACTGGTGAGGCAGACAGGCCCTTGTCAGCCGCAATGCTCACAGCATGCAGACGGCTACTACACGGGAGGTGGTTATAACAACACAGCCTGTTGCACACATCTTCGCCATCGCTTCCTGACAACAATTCCCCCTCTGTCCGACTATTGTTGTTTCCTGCCTAGTCCATTGTGTTTTTTTTATGATCCCTCATCGCGAGGGTAAGCCAGCCCTGGTACTCACGAGAGTTTTTTTTGTATTCCATTGGTCTTTTTGACGCAGCTTGTACGCCACAGAAACGATGTCTTACCAAAGCTACACCGGCACTCCTATTGAGGAGTGGCAAGACTTCGTCCTTTGGGATGATGACTGCTACAATAACCCAACGGCCAACCGAGGCAACAATCACCACGGCTACCTAGGGGTTGGGGTATCTGGTATCGAGTCACCCTATGTTACATCCGCACCTCCCTCGAACTACGACGGACCTTCATCTTTCGACTACAATGTCTCTGCACCGCCCTCAGTTGTGGGAGAATCGTCATCGTATGGCCAATTCTACGGCACTTCACCAACGTTCTCATCCACTGCTACGTCTCCACTTGTGGGCCGCGATGAGCTCCGTTTCTTTGGGTCCTTCGGCGCTTGCGATAATTTTCTCTCGCCTTTGCGAGAGGCCACAGAGTCGCCTCTTATAGACACGACTCGCGAGCGGATTGTCGATTCGACTAGCTCCCTAGCAACAACGGCAGGGCAGGTGTTCAACCCACACCTAGCAGACTCATATCAGGCGTTTAGTGGCCGGGACATGGTCGCGTCTCAGATTCTTACCAGCAACACAGGTACCTGGGCCGAAACGTCTTGGGTCAGTGAACCGATCGCAGAAGGTGATGAAAACGGTGCCTTGACATCGACAGCACCCATTCCGATCATACGAACACAAACCCAGAGCTTGAACGGCTCCTTCGACTCCTACAATCAGTCGCGGAACTCATGTGACAACCGAACAAGGGCCATCACCATCCCACAGCCCAACGGCAAACCGACAAGCTATAGCGCAGGGGCATCTCGTTCTCGATGGGTTCCGAATGTACCGCCCATGCTGTCAACCTCTCCTGTCTCACAACGTCGACCCCGTAGCTGTACCCTATCGAGGAGCAACTCCCGTGCTGAATACCGGAAAAGCCGGGCATCTCCACCGCCAACGTCTGCACACTCTTTGGGTTGGGTTTCTATGCAGATGGACAGCCAGTCTGGTCGTATGGCAGCGGCCACATCCTTTGAAGGTACACAGGGACGCATTGCTAAAGGCCGCAAGAAAGGATTGGATCCTAGGCAACGAAGCGAGGCAGCTCTGATGCGTATCATCGGCTCGTGCTCCAACTGCAAGAAACGCAAAGAGAAGTGCGATCCTGGCACACCTTGCAAGTCTTGCCTGAAGCACTACAAAGGCGATTTGGTCAACAATCCTTGCCGTAATCATTTGCTTGCCGACCTGACAAAAGCCTTCTTGTCCAATCGCCATGGATGGCATCCTACAGCTCGGTCGCTGGAGTCATCTATTGCACCACATGGATTCAGTATCTTGACAGACATTACGTATACGATCCCTCTGTACTTTGGCTTTGGTCAGCCGATCAGTGTCAGTGTTCATCCAATCGAGCTGGATAGCACTCAACCTTTGATACACGAGCACCTCGTCTATTCATGGCCTCCCCAGTCTTCGACCATATCCACCCATATCGAAGCTGTCCTTCCTGCAGTATTGACTGCGAACGCTGTCATGGAATTGAAACAGAACCTAGACGCACATCTCACGCGTCTCATTATGACGGAGTTCTCTGCGTTCCCCTTATACTGTTCGCAATTGCGGGCGCTCCGGAGCGTGTACATCTTCTTCCGCTCCTTCCGATCAGACTCAAAGCACAGCCACACCCTTTTACAAGCCCTCAAACTTCTTGTGTTAGTGCACATTGGCGGCGACATTACCCTGCCGAAGCGAACAGAGAGTCGTTTTCTGGCTCGTCTGATCCACGACACCATGAATGTATCCAGTGAATATCGACCGACGCCCTGCTTCATCCGTTCCCAGTTTGGCGGCATTATGCCCAACCTTGCACACGAGCTCATGAAGAGTGTCCTCTCATCGCTGGAGCTCTTGCTGCTTGGCCGCAATGAAGGAGAGTGGTCTGTCACATTGGCAACTCTCATCGTGGTTCTCATGACGGTTGAGTCGATTCATTACCACTCTGCGAAGAGACCGTACCACGAGGCACACAAACCTGCAAGCTCGGCAGCTCCCATCGACCACGTGGAAGGAGATGACGAGGCCGTCAATAAGCTCCTCAAGTTCTATAGCGCATGTTTCTCAGCGTGCCACACCCGGCTGCGACCAGATTGGGAAGGCGAGCCTGACAGGGCCGCCGTTCGTGCATCTACTTCAGATACATTCATCAAGAGCATACGCGAGGCTGTCGGTAAAGCGAGCCCTGGAGGCTATCTGTTGAAGAAGGCTCACGAGAAGAGGACTGACGATGAAGATATGGGATTCTTTTTCGACAGACTGGTCGCCAGGTTACTTCTCCTTGATCCTCAACCTTAGCACGTATGGTTTATTCGATTCTCATCCGCATTGGCGTACCATCGGAGAGGGCACGACTTCACGACACACGACTTTATGACCGCTACGGCTCTGTCTTTGTTTACATTGGCGCTTGGAGGCTGTCTGATCTCTCTTCGATTCTCTAGATCCCTTACTGGCGGCGAATGTTGTACGCTATTGTATCCAGGTTGTTCACTTTGATAAACATTAATCAGGTTACAAATCTCATCGTACCTTTACTTCCATGCATGTACTTGAAGCCCCTTCAACTGCAAAGGAAATCAGCACACGATACACTCATACCTTCATCCCTTCAAATACCCCCCAAAGATATACAAATCCTCCTCCGTCCTCCACTCTCCCCCAATGAAAATGCTTTCGCCTTTCCACTTGTACACTCCCTTCTCCTGCACCCCAATAGCCTTCAGCTTCCTCATAACGTTCAGACTGGCGGCGTTCCGCCCATTCACAATGACGCGCATCCAGACTTTTCTCCACGGCGCCCAGAAATGCATTGCTGTTGAAGAGCGGCACGCGTTCAAAACGGCGGTAATGGCCTCAGTCGCATAGCCCTTGCCCCAAGCTAACGGCAGAAGAGAGTAAGCTAGCTCAACGACTAGAGTGTCTTTCTCCTGCTCTTGAGAGATTACTAGATGCGGCGGGATAGGGAGGTGGTCGCCCGAGAGTGAAACGAGCTTGACCAGTCCGATGAATCTCGTGCTTGGTTCGACGGCGTTGCTCGCTGCTGGGGGGAGAATCTCGTGCACGGCAAAGGCCATTTTGTACGCTTTCCGAGCACATTCCTCGCCGGATGTAGGCGGGGGATTGCTGCCTGGTGGTGGGGCTGCGGGCGTGGTGTCTGGCAGGTAGATCCCCACCACTTTTTCCGTGTCTTCGATGCTTATGCTGGGCGGGCGGATACTGATTCCCGTCAGCAACGCTCGAACTCATATTTCGCTGTGGAGTGTGGATGAAGAGTGACGAGCCAGGGTTGGACGAGGTTGATCTGCGCTCGAGGACGGCTGGAGATGCAGAGGGTAACAAGGAAGAGAAGTACGTACCTCCATGCTGTCGTCTGTTTATTACTACGCAGTTCGTGCAGCCAGGTCAACTCATCGCTGTCTCGTTCGGCGTGCGTGATCAGTGTCAGCTTGAGACGGGGAGTGAACAGCACGGGATCCATTGTAGCAGAGATGAGGAGGAACTGGAAACTCTTCTGCAAACTCTTCTGCAAACTCTCTCAGCTGCTGATAGAAGATGATGTGAATCTCGATGTCTCGTGGTGATGTTGTGTTGTTTGTGTAAGGAGAGATGTTAGCCTGAAAGGATTAGGCCCTCTACGCCCTATCCAGCGGTATCGCGCGATTGATGCCCAACACATGGAGGAACGACATAAAACGTTGCAAAAATACCACAGAGAGCGTGAGTTTACAAAACAGCTGCCCCTCGAAGTCGGGAACACGCCCTATCGCTGTGACAGGTTATGTTGTATGATTCAGGGTGGGCGGTAGGGCGCCATGTCGATTTCCAGCGCTTGCAACATTGACATGAGAACGAGGATGTGGACTATTTGACGAGCACCAGCGCGTGTGTGGAATCAGGTATGTACAGTGCGTGATGATTTTTGGTACAAAATCTAGAGAACGCCAACAATGCATGCATGCTATGGGATTGAAATTCAAACTGAGTGCGGAATCCCGCTACTGGAGTCCGTTTTACTCTCCTCCTTCTTTCCGTCCTTCAGGATCAACTCTCCCTTCTCATCCCTCGGTATCCGCACCCACCCCGTCTTGAACCGCTTCTTACTTGCGTCGAACCGCGGGAATGGATGTGCTTCTGTATTCAGCACGATCTGATCGAGTGGCAGGACATCATTGGGGCCAAACAACAGATAAAAGTACTTGAGAGTCTCAGCCTGTTCATCGTCAGTAAACCACATTTTTACAACAGAGAGAACGAAGGTACTCACCAGCCAGAAACTCTCCATGTTATCCCTACTCGGCGGCGGAACCTTGGTCACATCGTTCACACTGGTATATCCACCCCCGCCCTCAATGGCGGTGTGGCTCACAAACGCGCTGAACATCTCCCATCCCCACTCTCGATACATCTCATCTCCTGTGATGCGCCACATGTAAAACAGACTCTCGACCGTCTCGGGTCTTTGCAGGTTATGCGCATCCGCAGGCTTGATGATGAAATCCTTCTTCCACCCCTCGCCTTCAGGGACGGCCGAATCCAAGTCGGTCGTCGAGGCGAGAACCTCGGTGCGGTACATTTTCGGCACGTCGTCGAGTTCAAAGTGGGCGATTTCGGGGGACAGGCCGGTGGCGGTGGTGCGGTACATGCCCATGCACGTCTTGGTCAACTCTTTTGCGAGCAGCATGTTTTCTTCCTGCTCCTTGCCCCAGGAGGGCAGTTTTTGGGCCGCGGAGAGGGGTAGGCCACCGGTCTGGGCGAGCGCGATGGTACCGGGCATGAAGCAAACTAGGTGGTCCATCTTTGGGTGCAGATGTCCGTCTAGTCCGCTGGGGCGCTCGGCGAGGACAGTCAGGTGAGAGTCTTTGGTGTAGGTGAGGAGGTGCTTTTTTACGCCTCGTAGGGTCTCGTTCCACATGTCTAGGTAGATGGGTTCTTGCTTTTGGGTTTGCAAGTACTGCTTGATCAGGTATTCGTAGTAGCTGTCTCCACGAGAGCCTAGACGGATCTCATTACCCCGGAAGGTACCACGGTCGGCGTAGATGAAGATTGGGACCAGGCCGTCTTTGGCTCCGTTGTCGTCGACAACTTGCATGATCTTTTCGGCTTTCTCCCAGTAGTGCGACTCTCCCGTGAGGTAGGCAAGGTACTTCATTTCGAGTTGCAGGGAGGTTGCTTCGGCGGTCGAGGAGGCGCCGCCGTCGGCGTGCGAGGCCTCGCCTTTGCTGTCCTTGAGGCGCACACTGGCCCAGGGGATGCCGGAGGGCGATTCATAGGCGCCCATGAGGCGGTCTGCGAGATCAGTGGCCTTCTCGAGAAAGAGGTCTTCCTCGTTTGAATTCTCGGGCTTCAGTCCCGGGAGGGTTTCCTGCAAGTAGTGTGCAGACAGGAGGCCTCCCAACATGCGGATCGTGGTCTCGAAGGTGTTGACGTCCTGGTCCTTGTCGTAGTCCAGGGTGGTGGCGACCCATTCGCGCGCGTGCCTGAGCTCCTTGGTCAGGTTCATGATCATCATGGTGTCTAATGCGTCGACGATAATCCAACCCATGCCATTGGGCTCTGCCATATACCGGCCATTCTTAGCGACCGGGTGATACTCGTCGTAGCCCCACCCGTGTTCCTTGTATGCGTTCCAACTCAGCAGGAAGGCATCCCTCACTTCCTGTCTCCTCTTCTCCCATATCAAATCTTTGTCGCTGGCTGTGCTTCCACTGAACCAGCCCTTTCCAGCACCCAACTTCGGCGCCGGCGTCTGGTTCGAGCCCGGCACGACCATCCAGTACACCAAGCCCAGCACCAACAATGCTATTGTTACGAGCCCCTTCTTGCTCCTCACGAACGCCCTCTTTCCCCTGCCACCGCCGTACCCGTATCCCGTAGGCTTGTCCTTGTACATTGGCAAGCCCTTGTCGTTCCCCGTGACCTTGTTCCAGACATTGTCCTCGAAGCGACGTGAAGCAGACTCGATGTTGCGCGGGACAGCGAAGGACATGTCGGAGTCGTGGAGCGCCTGTTTGGTGGCCTCGACGGCGTGCTGCGTCGATTGCTTGGTCGACTCGACGGCCTGCGAGGTGCGCGTGGCGGCGTTCTGGAGCAGCGAAAAGGCGGACGGGGCTGCTTGGGACGCTTTGCTGCGGAGGTTGAACGGGTCGCGCGCCGTGTACATTGGCGACCGTCGGCGACGCGTAGGGCTGGTAGCGTCTCAGGGTCCAATTGCCGAGGTGTAATCAAGTCATTGCTGCACCTTCACTGCTACTCTTTTTTCCAGTCTGGGCGCCTTTTTCGACTTCTGTAATTACTCGAAGCCAGGTGTCACATAGCTCCCTTCCTAATTGAGACGACAGGGGTAGACCGCCGCGCCTCCGTGCGGCATGCGGAGCTTCGGGGAAGACTACGGCCTCGTTCATCCAACACCGACCGCGCTGACGATGGCAGCACGCGCGGAGCCCGCACAGCCTGCACAGCCTCTTGAACCACTATCTAACTATAGCAACCGGATGGAGTATAACCAGAACACGGCTGCACCTACAGTCCTGCATGTTGAAGTTAAAAGTATTCAACCCGTCTCCCGTCTCATCATTATTACCACGTCGTGCTGTCGTCATTGATCGCCAACATGGCTCCAAACATGCCTCTACTTGTGCAGCAGCTGCGCTTCTTGTTCTTCGTCTTCTGTCCATATCTCCCCCTGTACAACTGCTACTACTCCAAGCGCCCAGACGCACTTCATCAGACCACTGGCACCTCAAGTCCAAGCCCAACAACTTGATTTTGTAGAGCAAGACGCAGCGTCTCGCCTATCTCAAACCTGCAGGAGCAGCAACAGCCATGAAGCACCTCCAACTTACCCCCGGTGAGGGTGCCAAGCCTCTGAAAGACAGCACAACTGTCCCCGCCGCTCTGCCAGAAGCCAAAGAAACAAAACTGCACCCGGCAAACGCACCAGATGCCTCGACGAACGCATCCCTCTTCTTCGTCGGAACAGCAACCACAATTCTAGAGTGGGAGGGCCTGCGCATCCTTACTGACCCCAACTTCCTCCACGCGGGCGACCACGTCCATCTCGGGCCCGGCGTCAGCGCAACGCGGAAAACCAACCCAGCCATCGACATTGAAGAGCTGCCGCATATTGACGCGATCCTGCTTTCCCACTATCATGAGGACCACTTCGACAAGCTCGTCGAAGACAAACTATCCCGCTCCATCCCCATCATCACCACTCCGCACGCGCACAGCTGCCTTACCTCCAAAGGCGCCGACTCCTTCACCAACGTGCACGCGCTCGATTTCTGGGACTCGCTGATCGTCGACGTGAAACCCAGGACTCTCACTACAGACACCACGCCGTCGTTGAAGATCACAGGTATGCCCGGCAAACACATCCCACCCGGTCCTCTGAACGTCGCCAACGAGATCCTCGGCGCCGTGCCGCCGACAAACGGATGGATGATCGAGCTAGGCTACTCGTCTCCCTCGTCCTCCAACGCCGACGAATTCGCGTCCGGGTATAGAGTGTACATCACGGGCGATACTTTAATGGTCGACGAGCTGCGCGAGATTCCCAAGCGCTACGAGGGGCTGGATATCGACCTCATGCTGATTCATCTCGGGGGCACGACGATCCCGGGGCCCAGTATGCCGCTGCTCATGGTAACGATGGATGCGAAGCAGGGCGTGGAGTTGATGCATTTGATTGATCCGGATGTGACGATTCCGATTCATTATGATGATTATGATGTGTTCATGAGTCCGCTGGATGATTTCAAGAAGAAGGTCGAGCAGGCGGGGTTGGGTGGGAAGGTGGTGTATTTGGATCGGAAGGATCAGTACAAGTTTCTGGTTAAGCAGGAGGGGGAGAAGAAGGGGATTAAGGATCTGCCCACTGCAAGCTGAGAGTTGTTAGCGGGAGCACAAATCTGGCTGTTTAGTTGGGCGTGCAGGTACAAAGATTGTATGCGTGATACACCGATTCGTGTTGTGCTTTGCGTGGTTCGTCATGCCCGCCGTTACACCATAACCATTCAAAGTTGTGCTGCAGTCAACGCAATGCCCGCACCCAGCAACTCACAAAGCCATCCCTCACACTTCAACGAGACACGAAACACTGAATGGGTGGTTTGCCATTTTATCATTCCAGTGGTAACCCATGGTGCGTGGGTCCCTGTTTCGATTTCGTATGCCATTGCAAGAGTAATCATCCCATAGACGCCCTCCGCCAATGCCATGCCATATCACGCCATCATCCTCTTCCTGACAACACAGCCCTGGCCCCTCATCATATTATGGGAGCGTTTATGCGGCCGCGTGCCTGCCCTTGGGGTTCTTCTTGCCCACGTCGGAGATGGTGAGACCTAATAGCGAATGATTAGAACGGGGATCTGGCGGTGTGTGCAGGTGCAAGCGTACCCGGGGGAAGCGACTGCTTGAGCTTCTCGGCCTTGTCGGTGTCCTTGAGGACGAGGGTGTAGACGTTCCTCGAGCAGCGGACCTTGAACTTGATGTTGTTGACCTTCTTGTTCTTCTTTATGCGCGCAGCTACACTATTGTTAGCCTCAAAACATCGATATTGAAGACCTGTCCCATCGCGGTTGCAATTCCGTCAGATGTTCCGTTCCTCAGCCGTGCACTCGATTCCAGCGCGCCGTCTGTGTCCCTCCTCTTTCTGCGATTGGTGATGGATGGCGGAACGTACACTGGGCATCCTTGCGGCGGCAGATCTCGATGAACTGCTTGATGTCGGAGACTTCGGAAGGCATTTTGGCGGCGGTGGATGGTCGGGTCGTGAAAATCTCAAAGGTCGCTGGAAGTTCGCAAAGGTGCATCGCGCCTGGCTACCAAATCGTTGTGGTCTCGCTTATTGCCGCACGGGCTGCTATGGGGCGGTGTTGGGTTAGGTTGAGAAAGGGATGGCGGGGTGCGAAGTGGGGCCTACTGTGGCGGAGGCGAAACGTCACAGCTGCAGATGCCTGGAAGGAGCAGACAGCGAAAAGGGTGGTGCTTGCGAGTTGGCTTCCAACATATATCTGCAGATTTGCGCTCTTCTTCTTTCATTTTGACCACGGAGTCTGACACCTAGCAATTTAAGTAACGATCCGATTCTGACATGCCGACTCCTCTCGATCGCGCAACGAGCCAACGTGTAGGTGACTTCTGGTCCTGGAACCTGATATACGTTGTGCGTATACTAGTCAGACGAACACCAAAGTGCTGACAGTGTTAGGCTCCCTTCTTTGCCTTTGCGGCGCTCATCACGGGTGTTGCTGCGTGGAGCATCTGGGGTCAGGACTTGTTTCCTAGCGCTGATCCTACTGGCGGTACGTATTCGTTGGCCTATCTTTCAGTGTTGCTTGCTGCAGGTCTTCTGGAGTCTATCTGAACTACCATTCAAGCTAGGGACGATTTGCTGATACGTCTTTGCTAGATCCGGAAACGTGGACTCGCGACCAATGCCTCGCCTGGCTTAACCATGTAAATTTTCCCAGTATACAGATACTGCTACGCTCGAGAATTGAATCTCTCGCCCTCAGCTTGATTCTCAGTGCTGAACTGATAACGTACACAGCGAAACCTACACCCCTCTCCGCTCGCTACCACTGCCGAGCTTCTGGAGCGCATCAAAGCCAACATGAGGGTTGCTCGGGACGGCAACTATGGCGCAACAGGTCGCCAATAGAGTGATTGCACTATTAATATGCGAGATTCATATGGCTACAGGTTGTTATGGGCGCGAAGTCCTGGTTGTGTCCTACCATCCATCTTGTTTTAGGATACCCTAGTCACGTGGATTTCGATTCATCGATTCATGAAGCACTTAAACTCAGCAAGCGGAACAAAGCTTTCGGTATAATCAATTTCATAAGGCCCTAATCCATGATCCCAGATAGACCACCGGTTCGCCTCACCGTGCCATTGCCGTTCCCAAACCCACGTTTGAAGTCGTTTGACAAATACAAACAACTCATCTCGCTCTGATCCCGAAACCAGACTTTCGGTTCTCGAGAGCCTGCAGCCGTCGTAGAGCCCTAGCAGAGCTATCCGAATGACCAATTCTCGACCCGCTTGTAGAGCCGAAAACCAATCGAATGGCTCCAGCCTTCGCTTTTTCAGAACTCCCAAACTCTGGCCATCCGCCCTTTTTTGCCACCTTAATCCCTTCAAAGTGCCAAACCGCCGCCTAGACATCACCATTGCCACGCTCGAACTCCGCCAGCATAGCCTCACTAGCCTTGTACTCTTGCTCTTCTTCAGCCATCATGGACTCTTCCTCAGCCATCTCCTGCTTCAGCCGCTGCAGCTCCTCAACCATATGTTGCTTATAAGGCGCCAATCGTTCGTCCATCGCAGCCTTCTCCTTGGCTATATCAGCACGCTTCTTGCGCGTGGCTTCGAGACGCTTGCGCTGCTCAGCGACTTGAGCTTCGATGGACTGAGGGCGTAGGCTTGGGGAAGCAGGCGATGGGCGAGCAAGGTGAGTAGGCGTGAGCGGAGGAACAACGTCAGACTTGATGCGTTTGATGTCCGGAGGTGGAGTGAGTGTACCCTCTGGGGTGCGCTTGAGGAGTGTAGCAGGCGTAGGGGGAACAACTGGTTTTTGCAACACCGTAGAGGTAGTCGTATCGACCGCAGAAGGCTTCGTGGTGGCTCTCTTGAGAGGCGAAGTGAAGGATTTCGCGCCGTTCTTGACAAAGTCCTTGGTGCTGGGTATGATAATCGCCTGTGTAGCAGCAGGGCTCAGGGTGGTGGTGGTGTCGAAGACGCTGGGCAGATCTGCAGGGTGCGGTACCGTGGGCACGCTGGATAACTCCACGGGTAGAATTGGCGGGATCGCACCTGCCGTCTCAGACTTCTTCTTGTCGTCGGCCTTCTCGACAACCTTCTTCACAGACTCTGTGCTCTCATCATTCGCGTCTCTGTGGGTAGATGTAGAAGTCTTCTTGGCTCCCTTCTTGGTCGAATTCTTCCAAGCCACAGCAGCCAGATCACCATCGCCATCTTTCGTAGCAGCAGAAGTGCTGTTCATAATCTCATCCGTCGATGCCATCTCGGAAGGCGCCGTGGCGGAAGGGTCGTCTGTGGCCTGTGTGGGCGTCGACTTAAGATCACCGGAGGATGACGCGTCAGGAGCCATGTCAGCCAAAGGTTCAGTGACAGCGAAGGGTTCCGTGTTGATTGTGGATGCCATTTCGGAAGCTGGGCCTAAGGTAGTGGAAGTCGACTTGGTTTGTTGCTTCTTGACGACGACCTTCGACTATATATATAAGTCAGCAGCAGGCTCCAACTGTCTTTTACTTTGAGCTGAAATCAAAATGACGTAAACAACCAGAAATGGGCTACGCACGGAAGAGAGAAGTTCTCTCACCTGAGCAGATTGGGCTTTCTTCGAGCTCTTGGTGGGCGTTGCTGGTGTATCAGGAGGCGCAGGTGATGATGTGCGCACTGAATTCTCGCCGTCATTCTTGCCTGCGGGCTTAGAGCCCAACAGCAACGTGGGGACTGGCTCAAGCTCAAGGGCATGAGGCTCTTTCTTAGTGAAAGCCTTATCAGCGGGATCGAATGTCAGCTCCATCTTCTTGTCTAGAATTGACTCTGGAACCACGGTCAGCGCTACTTCACGATTTGGAAGTTGGAACATGCCTTTGGTACGGTAGTGAAAGCGGAAGATTGCCCAGGGCTCGTTGCCTGGACGCTTTGCGTAGACTTTTCGCCTCTCGCGGTTACCCCTGGCGCCGTCCAGTGTCGAGTAGTTCTTCTCGAAAGTCATGTGAAACTGAGGTGGTACATCCTTGTAACTTGCAACTCGAGTACCGGTGTCGGCGTCGTCTTCGATCCTATCGTACTTGCATGCATCGTCGATCTCATGCTCCATACCGAATTGGCGCGTGATGTAGACGCGTAATTCGATCGTACCAATTGTCTCCGGTGCGTTCTTGTTGAGGATTGCAGGCCCAGAACGAGAAGAGACGGAAATGTCACTGTCGATGACACCGTCTGGTGTCTGGTACAGCAATTTTTCGAAGTCGAGCTTTTTGTTCTTCTGCACTTGTACAGACTTTCCGGCATAAGAGTTCGCTTTGCGGCACACACCATCGACCATGAAGTCGTAGGCAACGGTCAGAGTCTGCGCGGTCTTATATTAGCAGGGGACTGGCGGGGGAGTGCACACAACATACCACACCTGAGAAGCGACCATCGACTCTGATCTTGTGACCCTCTTCCACAGCGACGTAGCAGCAAATGGCTTTATCTCGAGCGTCGACGTACTCGCCGTACTCTTCAAGCGGCTGCACTCGGCCTTCCACGTAAATGTTGGCGTGAGCCGTGCGATCCGCTCCTTTCTCGATAACTTTCATTGCGAAAGCTGGAAGTTGCTGACACTGCGTGGGTGAAGATAATGGACTGAAGGGGCTCGATGAACGCGCCCGTGGAATGTGGCGTAAGCTCCGGGGTGAAGGTGCGACGCAATCAGAAAGTGCCGTGTGTTTGACTGAAGTACGCTGATGTGATTGTTATGGTGTAGTGGGCAGGCGCTGGAGTAAGAGCGTGCAGCAAGTGGCCGATTCAGCTTTGGTAAGTGGAAGTTGGAGCTTTGGTGAAGAATAAGGAGACGTGAGATGATGCTAGATATATGATGAACGAGTACCGTGGTAGCGGACAGCGCCCAGTTCATATACTCAGGTAACAGGACAGTTACGTGATGGGAAGGAACGCTGCTTGGAGAGCTCAGTTCACACGGGGTATATGTCCGTTACATGCATCGATGTGCTGAGCTTGGAGAAGAAGCGGGATGTGTGGTGACCGTGGGTTGGAGAAGAGATAATGAAGAGTGCTCGATCTTGAAGCTGATTCGTGGTGAGGTGAACGCTGGTCGCACCTACCTCAAATGCACTTACCTCACCGCTAGTACCTACAGCAAACCCCAAACATGACCTACAAATGTAAACGTCGATAGAAACGCCTGGAAAGCTGACCCACAGGTTCGCAACCGCCTTTCGACTCATCCAAAGCATATCCTTGAATCGTAGCTTACAGTCACAAGACTCGACTGGAGACTCTGCACACACCATTACTCTCATCTTTCTTGGAGACGACAGATTAGGAACTGAACGCAGTCGCGATCCCCGGGTACGCAACGGCTACATCCCCAGCTCTTACATGCTCGAGCATGACGTTGAACGCTCAGGCGCCCTTTCACATGCCAATTGTCCATCGCAGCGGAGGCTTGTTGTTGAAGCTTGTGGCTTCGTGCATCGTTCCTGCAAGTAGAGGGCATGAGCGGTAGCATCACGTGGCCATCGCCAACATCGACCACAATACACCAGAATGCACCAAAAGCGAGGGAGAGTGAAGGGCACGAGAATGGGCCGGAGATGGATTGATTAGATCAAGCAGCGGAAGGACGGATGCGGCAAGGCTGCGTGCGCCGAGCGCGAAGGCACGGGCCTTTTTTCGCAGACGGCCGGCAGCTGCAGCTTGTTTCTCTACGACCTCATATCCCTCACCAGCACCAACCCGCTGAACGCCGCACAACATGTTGTCCAGGACCTCTCAACGAACTGCGCAGGTACGGATATGCGCCCATAGAAGCAATTGAGGCTGCAAGAAGAGGGCAATGCTAATGCGACAGGTAGACGCTCCTGCGGGGCGCCCAGCGCGCAGCTGGGCCTTCGATGGCTGCTCGATGTACGTCGTCGCCATGATGGCACATTGTTGCTGTCACGTGCACCTCGAATACTCGATCAATGTCTAACAATACACAGCCTTCGCAACCGTCGGCCAGGATATCTTCAAGCCCACCAAATTCGGCGGCAAGTACACTGTCACCTTGATCCCCGGTGACGGTATCGGTGCTGAGGTCTCCGAGTCGGTCAAGGAGATCTTCAAGGCGGACAACGTGCCCATTGAGTGGGAGCAGGTCGATGTTTCTGGTGTCGACTCCGGCAACGTTCACTCCGAGGAGCTCCTCCGCGAGTCCATCGCCTCGCTGAAGCGCAACAAGCTCGGTCTCAAGGGTATCCTGCACACACCCGTTGAGCGCTCCGGCCACCGCTCCTTCAACGTCGCTCTTCGCCAGGAGCTCGACATCTACGCCTCGATCGTCCTCCTCAAGAACATCCCCGGCTACGAGACGCGTCACAAGAACATCGATTTCTGCATCATCCGTGAGAACACCGAGGGCGAGTACTCTGGTCTCGAGCACCAGTCGGTCAACGGCGTCGTCGAGTCGCTCAAGATCATCACCCGCGAGAAGTCTGAGCGCATTGCCAAGTTCGCTTTCGCCTTTGCGCTCGCCAACAACCGCAAGAAGGTCACCTGCATCCACAAGGCCAACATCATGAAGCTGGCCGATGGTCTCTTCCGCAACACCGTCAAGAAGGTCGGTGAGGACTACCCTACCCTCGAGACCAACGACATGATCGTCGACAACGCCTCCATGCAGTGCGTCTCGCGCCCTCAGCAGTTTGACGTCATGGTTATGCCCAACTTGTACGGAGGCATCCTCTCCAACATTGGTGCTGGTCTCGTCGGTGGCCCTGGTATCGTCCCCGGATGTAACATGGGTCGCAACGTTGCTGTTTTCGAGCCCGGATGCCGTCACGTCGGTCTCGACATCAAGGGCAAGGACCAGGCCAACCCCACTGCTCTGATCCTGTCCGCTGCCATGATGCTGCGCCACATCGGTCTTGACGACCACGCCAACCGCATCTCGCAGTCCGTCTACAAGGTCATCGCCGATGGGTATGTCAGACTTGTCCCAACTATTCGATTGCATGCTAACGATAACCAGCCAAGTCCGCACCCGTGACATGGGCGGCAACTCGACCACCAACGAGTTCACCCGCGCCATACTTGGCCAGATGGAGAAGGCATAGATTTAGGTAACACTTATCTATCACGTTTTGCTTGATGATTGGATGCTCTACACTTGTACAACTAGTTCAGCGGAGTGTGGATAGAGCTGTACTTCTAGTTGGTATATAGCATGCTGCATGATTGAATTGACATTCTTATACCCTCCTGGATATGCCGCAACCCAAACGCCTCGCTATGCATGGTATCGTAAATACTTTTTATCTAAAACTGGATCCTCCTCTTCCTGCCGGTGTACTTGGACGATGCCTTGACAACCTTGCCTTGCGCCTTCTGTTGCTCCTTCTTTTTCAGAATCCAGCCCTTGCTACCCTTCTTGTCCACGCCTCTCTTCATGGTGCCAGCCTTCCGTCGTGTCTCCATGACATCCACGCCCTCCATGCCGCGCACCACACCTGTGATGTCGCCGTCCAGCTCACCTCCACCGACTGTGAGCACCAGGTATGTCTTCGCGCTCTTTGTCCCGGGATCATCCTCAAGCAGACCAGCGCCAAATCCAGCCTTGATCGCCGCCTGCGATACCATCTTCTTCTGGTCGTCGTTCTTGGGGTAGAACTGCAGACATGCCCGTCCACCTCTCCTCAAACTCGCATAAAGCTGATTGAAAAACCTGCTCAGCCTCCCTGCCGGACTCTCTTCACTCGTCTCCGCCTGACACAGCCACTGAATCGCACTAATGCTGATCGCAGCATCAAATGTTCCTGGGCGGAACGGCACACCCTGTCCTGCATCAGCCAGCAGCAGATCCCCCTCAACCTCCTTCTCGAGTGCAACGCCCAGCATAGACGCGCTGATGTCGAAGCCGACCCATACATGTGGGCCTGCGGGTGTGCCTTCTTCGGCCGTTTGCGACAGGATTTCGCCGGATAGGCAGGAGCCGCAGCCTACATCAAGAATGAGGGAGGGTTGTGTAAGGCCGATTAGGTCGAGGGCGCGGTGCGTCATGTCGGCTTGAATTCGCTGGATTCGCGAGGAGGTGGTATATTTGCGTGATTCGACGTCATTGTAGTGTAGGTCGGGCGGTCTGGAGGTGTTAGTGTGGGTGCAGTGAGTGCTGGGGGAAGACGAACAATATGTCTTCGGGGCGCGACATGATTGCGATACGGGTCGTCGAGGCTCAGGTTGTGCGCGGTAGAAGCTCAGTATTGGGGAGTGGGATATGTGTGCTGTTGGGTTGTGTGTTCTGTGGTTTTGGTGTTGACTTCGCAACAGTGAACTTTCAACATCAAAAAAAGGTGGGCTGCCGGACCCCACGTCGATCCCGCACCAATCACGGTCAGGGTAGCCCCACTTATCCCGAGCTTAATGCCACCTTTGACCTCATCGTTGTTCAGGTACCTGGCAGATGTCAAATCTCCAAATCTCACACTTACCAACAAACATGTGGATACTACCAGCACTCGGGTACATCGGTGTCATTTTGGGCTTTGCCTTCCTGACGTTAGCAATAGGTAAACCTGACTTCCTCTCTCAGCCATCCAATACTATACAAAGTGAGCTTTACTGATGAAATGATAGCATCCGGGCTATACTACCTCTCCGAGCTCGTAGAGGAACACACCGTCTTAGCAAAGAAACTACTCACTCGCCTCATCTATGGTGTCATTGGCATCCAAATTCTCCTGCTCCTTGTCGACGGCTTCCCAATCGGTCTCAGCGCGCTCAGCATCGTCAGCCACGTCATCTACGCGCAGAACCTTCGACGCTTCCCAATCGTCAAGCTCACAGACCCTTTGTTCTTGCTATCTTGCGGTGCGTCGCCTAAGTCAATCATGCCTGGCGCCAAACCAACAAGAATTTGTGAACAACATGCTGATGATAGTATAGGCCTGGTGATAGCAAACCACTACCTCTGGTTCCGCCACTTCAGCGCGCCCTCGCCCTCCGCGAACAGTTATTCGAACTACCCCTACGACCGCCCTGACATCCCCTCCTTTACCGAGATTGCATCCTATTTCGGACTGTGCGTGTGGCTAGTGCCCTTCGCGCTCTTCGTCTCGCTTTCCGCGGGCGAGAACGTGCTTCCCTCGATGGGCTCTGAGTATGCCACGGGGGAAGGGAGCAGTTACATCACACCTGGTGTGGGGCCGAGTGGGTTTGCTAGTGGGAGCGGGAGTGCAGCGGGTGGTGCTGGCAAGAGGAGAGCAAGGAGTGGGACGAATCAGGGTATGGCAAAGCAGGTCTTCGGTGGGGTTAAGGATTGGGTGGGTGAGACGGGGGAAGTTATGGGGTTTTGGAAAGGCGAGAGGACGAGGCCTACGTTCTAGTCTGGAGAAGAGTAATGATTGTATGAGTAATGTATACATGGCTATGTCTAGGCGCGGGCCCTTGGAAACGGCGTGCAGAGCACCGAATCCAGATGAAGTGGAGGAGAGCTACGACGTTGCAACGTTGGCTGTGCAACCGCTCCGGCGCTTTCGCTTCACGTCCAGCACGATTTCTCTCCCGTTTTCTGCCCACTCCTACAATCTCGACTTTGATCCGCGCCTCGAAGCCACCATAGACATCGACACAGAGTCGCCAGGAGCGTCGACGCTTCCACTCAACCTTACAGCTCTGGAGCTCCCACCGGAGCCTCCTTCAAAAGACCTTGTCTACAAGGCGTGCGCAGTTTGCTGCTGAAAGCCTTCAACAAGATTACTAGCAAGGTACAGCTGGTACAGCAGCTACAAGCACAGTAAGTGTCGTTATCCGAAGTAGTGGTCCTCAGCTCACATGTATCGCATAGACATGTGCTGCATCTGCTCAAGTTCCCAACCGGTCGCGATTTTAACCTTGTCACCGAAGCTGGCGTTGAATTTAAGATTCATTCAATCATTCTCGCTGGTGGTGCTAGGTACTTGGAGGAGCAAATCTTCTCAGAAGGTGTAAGCGCAAGCATGATCTCTGAAGTATCCTCCTCAAAAATTTGCTGATGTTCGAAACAGGCGTCACAACAGACACCGCCTACTTCGATCACGCTTCCGCAAGAGTGTCATCCTGTCCTCGTTGACCGGCTCGTCAGCTTCCTCTACACCAAGAATTACGATAACCCGCCCCATAATAAGCTTCTTCGATCAATCAAGGGCAATTGCAGCCTGACTAACGCTTGAATTATCCCGAAATACAGCACACCTGCGCCAGAAATAGCGGCTCTTATGGATGCACCGCATCACATGTTTCATCTGCACATGTACACTCTAGGCGAGCAGCTGCGGTACGAGGTCTTGATGGCAGTGGTTCGAGCTAAGCTTTGGGACATCTTACTCAAATGCATGTACTGTCCCACTGCAGTGTCGTCATTGAGTCTGCTGAAAGACTGATTGGATGCCTGCTTCCCTTCGTCTGGCTCTGAAGCTCGGTTGTGCAGAGATGGGGATGGTGCTCTGCAGCAGATGATCATTGTGGTTGTGCTGAACCACGAGGTTAAGAACTGGAACTCGTTTCAAAAGGATAGCTTCATCGCCCACTGCCTGGAGCCGCAATATTGTAAATTCTGGGCGGTATACAACGATATCAAGAGCAAGAACTTGGAAGTCCTGGCTTCTGTTTCTGCTGTGAGACAGTCAAAGTACGACATGAACCAAGCAAGGAAGCAAGCACAGGTTGAAGCACATCAAACTGCCGCAGATCAGAGCATACTCGGCTCCAAATTACCGACTGCTCCGGCTAACCCATCTTCCACAAATGACGCCGACAGCCATATGTCTGAGGAAGAAGAACGTAGAAGCAACAAGAAGACCAAGGCAAGAAATGATAGGGCTCAGAAGGCTGAGGCTGTCTTAGCTGCCAATGCTGAGGTCTTTGACAGTATCGACAAGGATAAGGCAAGGGCAAATCTAGTCAGCTTGATGGGCAGACCTCCAGCACAGATCCAGAATATCCTGACCTTGCAAGGCATGAGTCAGAGCTATGGCGCTGGGTAGGACTCTCACACGCTGCCCTTATCGATGAACTTCACGTACACAGATGCTTCTCAAGGCGTCAGACGGGGCGATCGGGGCGAGGATGAAGGCTTCGGGGAAGGCAATCACAACCCGATGTGGGTTCACATCGATCAGGATGTCGAGGCGGAGTTACAAAACGGCATGACACGGATGAAGATCGATGGCGATGCTCACGACTGAGGTAGACGTTAGTGACATCGTGTTGAAGTTGGGCGATACTCAAGAGTCGTACAACACTAAAGCCCTCCACGACAAGGAATGAAAAGTTCGAATCGCAACACGAGAGTCAAGTGCAGAATGTACAGTATCATTCTGTCATTTCGTCAAGATCTCACAACCACTTCCCACACTTCAAACCCCATCCACCGCTTGCTGCCGTCCGCATACAGCTAACTGCTCAAACTTTCTCTAGGCGATCATAGCGCTCATGCAGTGGTATAACCCGGAGGCGTACCCAGATTCTTCGCCCTCAATTCATACGCATCCTTATTCTTCAGTCCAGCATTCTTCCCCCTCCTCCACAAGAAAAACCCAACAGCGCCCAATATTGCCAGGCCACCGACGATAGATCCGACGGCGATGCCTGCCTTTGCGCCGGTGGAGAGACCGCCACCGCTAGAGGACAGACCTGGTGTGGCTAACTGAGATGCTGAAAGGCCAGTGTTGGACGGACTGCTGCCGGAAGAACTGGCGCTGGGCGTTGGGGCGTTGAAGTCGTCGGACGTGACGTTGAAACAGGGGACTTTGATTGAGAAGTTGATTGTTTCAACGAAGGTCTGGGGAGCATCAGTTACTCTGGTATGAGATCTGGTTTACACTCGTTGGGACGTTGGAGAAACTGTTGTGTTAGATCGGGGAGGCACTTACGATATCAGCACAGGCAAAGAACGACTGGTTGTTGCCGTTATTCTCGCCCTCGAGCTCGGACCAGTATTCTAGCTGGATCGTGGCGTTTGTACCGGCGGGGATGTCTTCGAGGCGGTCGATCGAGTAGCACTGGTGGCCTGGGTCGACTTCTGTGACATTGTTCACAACTTGGTCGTCAAAATCTGCTTGGGTCACGGGGTCTATGCGACTTCGTCAGTGATGCTACTACGCAGTGGAAGGAGTGAACTTGCTGTCCGACACGGCCAGTCGAATGGCGATGTGCCATGCCTCGTCGGCGATACTCAACGCAACAGCACCTTGCGACAGTGGATAGATGGTTCGGTTTGATGGACCAGCTGAACTTCCACATGGTGTGGTATTATCGTGCTGCGCATCCCATACTCGGTCTGGTGGCCAGAGGAAGGCTACGGGTCCCATACTACTTCCTTCTTCAACCTCGCCATGTGTTTGCGCGCTACTCAGCACTGCCAAAGCAGCGAGAGATGAAAAGAGAGTTATACGCATGTTGACTGTTCCAACGGCGATGTCTCAGGTTAAGCAATCTGCAAGGCCTGTGGCGCGGGATCCGCTATATGAACACCTTACACCGTTACTCGTTCTTTGCGTACCAGGCATGTGTGTAGCCGGCCCAGGATCAGATAACGGCATGGTAACCTCGTGTTCCAATCAATTCCCGTCTTGCGTTGCGCTGCCAAGTGCTTCGAGTATTGGGTTCCTCCGCGCTCTTCGAATCACACGTTGTCGCCCGTTGGAGCCCCATTTCCTTGGGCGAAGTCCTACAAAAGCTAACAGCCAGAACCATCCCTACATCCAATGGGAATTCGGACGGCGGCAGACCTTGCAGAATCGGGTATTGCAAAACCTTATCAGATGGTGCTAATGAGTCGTAGCGGCCCCGCCCAACGAATAGGCGACCGCTACCCCGCCGCTCCAGGCTTAGACATTCACTGGGCGCAGGATCTGATAAGATTCATCAGCTCATCTGATAAAACTCTGCCATTTGCAGGATCTCCGAAGTTCGGTCGATTGGCGTCAGTCCACCGTTTGGACGCCTTAGTTGCTGGTCGTGCATATAAACCTGCAGAGTCTTGAAGAATGGTCGCCCAGCGCGGGAAGGGACGAGTCAGGATTCGGCACGAGGGAAGAGCGAGTGCGGCGCGTGAGGGAGCTACAAAACCTGTGTTGCCCGTTCCTGGAGCCATTCTATATCTTCAGCTCGAGTCTTTAGCATTTTGCTTTGCAATACCAAGACATTCGCTCAAACAATTGACAAGTCACTCACTATGCTCGTTACTCAACTCCTCATTGCCAGTCTCATCGCTGTCGCCAGCGCTACCAACCTCGTCTCACGTGAGGATGCGTACTTCGCCTCTCTCTTGAAGCGTCAGGAGCCTGGTACTCCTGCATACAATTGTCACGACAACTGGTGTGTATGGATCCGACTACCTCCAAGCTTTCTCTAACATTCATGTAGCGGCTCCGCCATTACCCTCTCTCGCGGCGCTGGTGTGTACACACCTGACTATCTCCAAGCTCTCTCTAATGTTCACGCAGACCCTTGCAATAACGCGGCTTTTGTCGCCGACTACAACAATTGTCTCAAGTGCTCTGGTCCAGACAACTACAATATCTGGCGCTACTATGGCGGCACTTTAAGCAGCACTGGTGCTAAGTGCGGTTTCGATACCGAGCCACTGCCTGGCAAGCAGGAAGATGTCCCCGAATCTGGCAGCACCGGAGCTGCATCTTCAGCTGCTCCTGCGCAGACATCGGCTGCTGCACAGTCATCCATAATTCCTTCTGCTGCTGCTTCTTCAGCATCTGCTGCCCCATCCGTCGCTGCACAAGAAAGTAGCCAGGCCGCAGCTACAACTGAGGCTGCAACAAGTGAGGCTCCTGTCTCTTCTGCGGCGACCCCTTCTGCGCTGCTGACTACTGTGGTTACTCCTGCGATCTCTTCTGCCCCAATCTACCCTACTGTCGTTGCGAACGGAACGCTGAGCTCTCTCGTGTCAGGTGTGCCTTCGCCTAGCACCAATGCTAGTGCAAGCTTCACTGCTGTAAGTACGACTTCCACTTCCTTTGGAGCACAGACTGACTCTAAGATAGTCTGCACCTGCTGAGGTCACCACCAATGCTGCTGCTGGTCTTCGTGTTGTGGACGCTGCTGGCCTGTTCGGTGCGATCTTTGTTGGCGCGCTTTTCGGCATGTAAGCTGGGGAGGCTCCGAGCGCACAGGAGGGTCAAGCGAAGAGTGCAGCAAGCGGACGACATTTACCTCTCATGTACAGTATGTTTCGACCAAACGATATGAAGCTATGGGCGAATAGATTGCATGTGGGCAAGAGCTTTCCCCTTTTGCCATTCGCTTTTCGTTCGCTTCGTGCCTGATCGCCAGATTGGCCTCTTACGGGGCAGCTTGCCATCGATAGAATGTTAACCATGCAAAATGTTGAAACGGCCCAATATTACAGTGATTCCCCCAGAAAATGGTCTGAATTGTGGTGAAGAGCGGTCGCTAGAAAGGATCGCGCGGAGGCGTGGCCTGTGCGGGATCAACAACCTCGGCGCGTCGATGTCATACTCTCACTTTCCTACATTCACGCTCTCACAATCAACATACCTCAGCCCTTATAGCGTTTCGAATATCTCCAGCCTTCCGAACAACTTGACCATCATGTCGCAACCTCAATCCGCATCACGCACAATCCCCTCCTTCTATCGCATATTCTTCACCATCATCGACCCTATAATCTGCCTCTGGGGCGCTTACATGGACTTTTTCGATCCTCGCATGGTCCTTTCATCCCACATCCTGGCCGACACACCCGACACTGGGCACATCATGATCCTCAAGCAGCGCGGCGGCGGCATGCTCAACTTCGGCTTCATGTCTGCCATCCTCTTGCGGTATACGCAGGATATTAAGATCTGGCATATCGTTGAGATTGGGTTGTTGATGACTGATTTGGCGTATTTCCCGGCAGTTTACGGGGCGTTAAAGAGTCAGGGGAGAGTGCTGCCCGAGACGTGGAGGGCGGAGGATTGGGGGAGTTTGGTGGTTACGGGGACAGTGACTTTGGTCAGGCTTGCGTTTCTGGCGAGGATCGGTTTTGCGGATGATGATGAGGGAACACAAATGAAGAAGAAGCAGTGAGATGAAAAATCTGTTGTTGACAACACATAGCAGAAGTGTCCGTACCTACATGGAAGATCCTACGTTCATATTCAACTTGTAGTCGTCCTGACATGCATATTCTAGAGAACAGCACCCGGAACGAAGCATCAAGACTCACCCGCAAACCATTGTTTCTACCTCTCTATCACCTGCCCCGAACGATAAGTGTACTTGGCAGTCCTCCGACTCTTCGCTTTCTCGCTTCGCCAAGGTCTTGGAAGGAGGGGCATTACAACAACGAACTCGACCCACCCAACCACGAGACGACCAGACAAGGAGCATCACAAGCATGCATGCAGCGATTGGACTGTCGGCAACATCTGCGGGAATCCGCGGTGGGCCGACGTGCAACTGAATTACACGCTTTGTAACCATAAAGCCTGCTACCCCGCCGCTTCCAGATGTATACTGCGAACTTCAGTAAGAATCTAGTAAAAGATGATATCAAAGTCACTGATCGCTATCCTGGGCCTGTTGACTCCAGCTCAAGCCGAGACAGTACTCGGCGTTGCTGTGTTCTCCCGACATGGCGACCGTAAGTACTCCTGTCACATTATTTTATCGTATGCTGAATCGTGAGCAGGAACCTCAAAGCACTACAAAGGCTACAATCTGACCAATCTGGGCCTTCAGCAAAACTATGATGTGGGACAAGACTACCGCAACATCTACCTGAACTCTTCTTCTCCTAAGCGGATCCTCGGTATCTCTGAAGACAAGGTCGTCAACTCGCAGATCTACGCTTCGGCGCCAGACCAAGCAGTGCTGCTCAACACAGCTACGGCTTTTTTACAGGGCCTGTATCCACCCTTAGAGAGCATCGACCAAGAGCTGGCCGCTCAGACTCTGAACAACAATGAGCGCGTCATCAAACCCTTAAGTGGCTATCAGTACCTCGTAGTTCATGGAGAGAACGACGACTCACCTGACACAATATGGCTCAAAGGCGACGAGGAATGTCCAGCTGTCACGACATCGATGAAGCAACATAAGGAGAGCGCAGCCTTCAAGCAGCGCATCGATGAGACGAAACCATTCTACCAGTCTTTCTGGGACCAGCTCGACGACGTGTACGATTACCAGCAATCCAATCTCAGTTTCGCAAACGCATACGATATTTTCGATCTGCTGAACGTGGCATTGATCCACAACGCCTCGCACAACGGCACAGTCTCAGCCGAAGAGCTGACTCAACTTCGCACACTCGCCGACGAGTGGGAGTTCGGCATGGCTTACGATGCTGACGACTCTGCGCGATCCATCGGCGGTCAGACCTTTGCAGGCGGCGTGCTAGAGCAGCTGGACCAGATTGTGTCAGCTCAAGGCAAGCTCAAGTTTTCGCTGTTGACGGGCAGCTATGATACATTCTTGGCGTTCTTCGGGCTTAGCAGCTTGACTGCTGTCACGGACCAGTTCTATGGTCTGCCAGACTATGCTTCAACGATGGCTTTTGAACTCTTCACGTTGGATACTGTCACTACATTCCCGTCAAGTGCAGAGGATCTACGTATCCGATTCTTTTTCCGCAATGGATCTACCGAGGGAGAAGCGCCGAGAGTTTTCCCATTGTTTGGCGGCCAAGATGAGTCACTCTCGTACAGCGACTTTGTTTCTAAACTAAAGGAGTTCGCGATAACATCACCGGAGCAGTGGTGTGGCATCTGCCAGAGCAGAGCGCTGTTCTGCCAGGCATATGGTGCTCTTAACGCCGAGTCGCAAGCAGAGAGCAAGAGCTCCGGTATGTCGAACGCTGTCGCTGGTGTCATTGGAGCGATGGCCACACTGGGTTTCGTTGGTATTGTTGGGTTGTTTGCATTCTATGCTATGAGACGTCACCGTTTAGCCAACGTTGTTCCATCGACTCGCGAGGAGAAAGGTAGTGTTTCTAGTCAGGGTTCGAGTGTGTAAGGCCTTGACATCGACGACCTTGCTAGCTTACCGGTACACTGGTAAACAGCTTATGGTATACGAGGTGCGCAGGCTAAGTGAATACAACCGAAGTGCTTGCATAAGACCCCGCTCTCGCTTTCTTGCTTTTCAATCCGCGTCTGTGGAATATGAGACGATGTCAGCGAGCATAGACACAGATGGTCCAGCCTGCGGGATGAGAAGGGATGACGCCATGAATTTTATCGCGCAGGTAAATGTACATCACTCCTGGTTGGACCATACTTGGGCTAGGCCCTGGAGAGCTCGGTAGAGTCTTGACATGAATGACGACATTTCGGGTGCATTGCTGCCGTAGTTCTCCGTAAAGACTTTGAGAAAGCGGTTGTGGCGCTCAGGATCTTCCGCGAAACGCTTCTCTTGATCTTTCCAGTTTCGACTATCGCAACCAGGACCTCATCAATCAGTATAGACGTCTGCTATTCTTAGGGGATAAGACTGAAGTGGCAACTGTTGCTTAAGGAAAGATGAACATCCCAATCACAAAGGATTACTTTGAGGCTACAGCTGACCAAGTCTGGGGAAATGGGTAGAAATAAACAATTGACAAGTAGCTGATTGCTCTAGCTGCAAACCACACATGGGTCATTATCACCCCTCAGCGGGGACCCAATCTGGTTACCAGCAAATGGGTTTTCAATACCAAGCTTAACACAGATGAATCCCTTGGGAAGCTCAAAGCAAGGCTGGTAGCTAGGGAATTCTCTCAGAAGTTTGGAGTGGACTATGAACACACGTTTGCTCCAGCACTGAGGCATGATACCCTGAGGGTATTCATGACAATTGTCAGGCCTGGCTGATGATATAGTACTGTTCCGGCTAGAGCTCACCATTAGAGTGAGTGTTGCGATTCGTGCCTTAAGCAAAGCTCGTAGACACTATTCGATTGGTTCTCGGGGATGAGCAGAGGTACAGAAAGCCCGTAGCGGTTGACAGTCACCTAAGCAAGGCTCGGGTGGTCAGGGGTAGACTATCCGGGCGGGTTGTAAAACCCTTCATAATAGTCAGGTAGTCGTCTAGTCAAAGACCGTGGCGACTGGTTGCAATGAGTAGTACAGAGTATACTGTCTGGCTTGAGAGCAAGTGAGATTCCAATAACAAAGTTGATTGACGAGGTTGAACACGATGCCATAAGGGCAGCGTGTCTACTTGCTATATAATTGAGCAGAGGATTGCTCAGATCGCTCAGTACTGAGTATACTGATAGTACTGAGTATACTGCTCGTGCCGAGTATACTGCTCGTGTCGAGTATACTGCTCGTGCTGAGTATACTGACCGTACCGAGTATATTGCTCGTGCCGAGTATCGCCGACGCGGCCTCACTGCTCGGGTCGCTTGAGTTGCTCAACTGAGAGTGATGATCATACTGGGTATTGCCGACGCGGCCCACTGCTCGGGTCGATCGATACTACAGTTCCTCGGCTCCTCTCGTATCGTTACGTAGTCCTGTTTGTTCAGTGTTGTTGCGGGTTGCCCTTTGATCGTAACAGTGAGCCGTGTTACCTTTTGGCTTGCTTGGCTCAGTGGGCCGGACCTGAGTCTTGACAACAATCTGCACAATATTTGACCTGGAATGCCATGGGGTGCGTGTAAACTACACATTCACTGAATCATTTCTAAAGGAAGAGATATACATGTGCCCACCACTTGGAGTAGACATACCAAAAGGGCAATGCCTGAAAATCAATCAGAGTCTCTATGGGCTAAAGTAGGCAGCCAGGGGTTGGAATAAGTACGTCCTAGAGCTTCAGAAACTAGGATTTGTACAATTAAATGTACACCCATGCCTGCTCACTCACACAGAGAAGGGGGTCATACTTCTGATCTATGTTGATGACATCCTGCTGGGATCAAAGGACCTACAGAGCATCAAGTGGTTCATTAAAAAATTCAGCAGGGTGTTTAAGATCAAGGATCTGGGTGAGGTGCAGAACATCCTGGGGGTGCAGGTTACTTGATGTTGGAAGGCACGATTCTCCTGGTATGGATCACCCAATTAGGCTTAGGTTTGTTTATTGCGCTGGTGGAGTAGTTCTTTGAGGTTTGCCTCAAATCCTCCTAATAATTCAATCATACTTCAAGACTTGAGACCGAGTAAATAGAACCATCACATTTGACCGAGCCCACTACATCAGGGAGATCTTGACAAGGTACAAGATGCAACAGGACAAGACAAGGAAGACCATCGTTCCAGTGAACGGATACAATTCATTAAGGCCAGAAGAAACCTCAGATACCAGAGCAGACTCACAGGAGTACCAGACTTTGGTAAGAAAGCTGCTTTACCTGACCATTCTGATAAGGCCGGGCATTGACTTTGCGCTGGCAAGGCTCAGTCCATACCTCTCAGGCCCAGCAGAGTTCCATATGAGTGTTCTCAAGCACCTCTTGAAGTATTTAAGGGCCACTGTCGACAATGGAATCACGTTTGGAGGGAGAAGCCTGAGATTCTTGTTGGATACTCTGATCCGGTCTTTGCGTCTGATTGTATTGACCGGGCATCAATTCTTGGTAATGTCTTCATGCTAGAAAGCGGACCAATCGGTTGGATGAGCAAGAAGCAGAATTCAGTGGCTACCTCTACTATGGATGCTGAGTACATGGCTATATGTGCAGCGGCCAAGCAATTACAGTAACTTGCTCTTGTCTTGAGGGAAATGGGAGCAGATGAGCTCATTGGTCAGCATCAGTTCAAGCCAACTGTGAAAGAGAAAACAAAGTTCATGATAGGATCCCCTGTACTCATCAGAGGAGACAACTAAGCAGCCGTTAGACTTGTGAAAGATGCCTAAATTACAGAGTGGTCAAAGCAAATTGATGTAGCCTATCATTACCAGCGGGACCTGATGAAGAAGAATCGAGGGTGGAGTTTGTGAGTATAACAGAGATGGTTTCTGATGGCATGACAAAGCAACTTGCAAAGACAGCCTTTGAGAGGTTCCCGGGCCTTTTGAATACGCGTCCAATCCTAGGACAAGCCTGAGTGGGAGAGTTGAGATTGGAGCAGTCTGGTCCTGTTGACTTGGGATGGGAGAGAGCAGGCCTCCAGTCAATCAGCAGGGCATGAAGCCTGACCCCTCAGGCCGAGCCCTTGTAGTATCTTCTACTTCAAAGTAGATAGAATGAATCAATCAACTACAACGCTTACAATAGGTCTCCATTGCAGCACCTTGGTTCCAATTGTATCACCAGAAGCCGCCCTTATCAGCAATTTATTTCAACTTATAACACTATGCTATATGAAATAATATCGCATACAAAAAGGCCAACCTTCCTGACTCCAGGGTCCTGAAGGTTATATACACTGCAACAAATAACGACTACATAACATCTGTAGCTTACCCTCCATCTCTAAAAATTGTAAAAAAAAGTAACAAGAAGACCTGCTTCTATTGACCGCTATGCACTAGACTGCACGGGACCATTCACGCTTCTAATGACCTTGAGCGTTATGTCTGTCCGTTGATGTAAACTATCAGAATTTTGGAAGGACCGCGTCTCGGAAGGTGGCACAGTTGTTACTGTCAACGTCGTACTTCTGGTGTCCGGCCTCCTGGAAGTATGCTTTTCCCACTTTCGACATGTTTGATAAAGCTCCCTTCGCGGCGGTTGTTTGCTTTGACCACACCAAGGTCTGCCCTTTCTTCAATGGTGTATTAGGATCAATGCGCTTTGGGCCACGCAAGATGCTCGTGACGACGTCCTCATCTTTCATCAGGTCCATGAAGTACGCATCGAAGTCCAGATCAATTTTTTCATTTTTGCCCCTCCCCGTCTTTTTCTCGATTATCTGACCGGCGGCAACTGCGACGTGTTCGAATCCCAACTTTTGCTGAAGTTTCTGGAGTTCGGTCTTGCTCTCGAAGGTGCCTTCTACGGCTGCAGGAAGGTCCCACTCGAGAGTGAAGACGTACCAGTTGCCGGGCACGAGTTGTTTGTTTGCCTTTGCAGCAGCTGCAACCGCTTCCTCGTAACGTTTCGTCTTTGATGGCACAACAGCAGCGGGGGCTTTTACAGCGGGGGCTTTTGCAATCGGGGCTGGGTCGGCAGGGGCGGCTCTTGGATTGAACTCATGAGGGACATCGGTGCCAATAACTTCGACGGATGATGATATCAGAACGGGACTAGCACCCACGCCTATCGCTAGGACTGTAAGGAACACGGAGTATATGGTGGACAACCTCATGATGTCTGCCCGATTAGAAGCGCGTAGTTGACGATTGGCAAACACTAGAATGGGAGAAGAGATATATTTGTTGCGATGGCTGAGGAGACATCAACCACGGCTTCAAGTTGGTACTTGTACCTCATATTTCCGGACAATTGCAAACGCGATCTCCGCAGCTGGGCATGGCTGTGCGGCGGACATCAGGCACTCTTTACAGCTGACGTTCATAAGGTCGGATGTCCGTATCAGGTCATCTTTCGAACACACAGAATGACCAGGACATCATCAGCAGCACTGCGACTGATGTAAGGTAGACGCTGGAGAACGCCTTCGCCAGAACGATGGCCACGAATATAACGCGAAGTCGTAGGCTAGGGAACAGTGCTCGAGCTCTGGCTTTGCACGTCGCAAACAATCATCTGACGTCCATCAGTCCGAGATAATCAAAGCAAGCGCCTGAAGAAAAAACCTGCGGTAAGACACCGGGCAGGCATATCGAGGTTCGAAAGTGTCTTTGGAGATCCGGGGTGCGAAGTCGGCGGTTTCGGCGTTCGGAGACCGATTGTCTCAGCCTGCGCCACTTCCTCCACCAACTCCATCTCGAGAATGGCCGTAATGAATCTCAGCTTCGCAGTCCTCCCCGCCTCTCTAGCATCATCTGTAAAGCGCTCACGTTACTCTGCTTTTGAGGCCTTTGCTCGTCACCCCAAACGTATCAGCCCTTTACGAAACTTCCCTTCATCGTCACTGTCTGTAGGACGTTCGCAATAGAAGCGCAGATCAACCGCAGGCTATTATGAATTCGAAAGACGCCGGGAGACAAACTCGTGCCTGGACCGCGGTCGGAGCCATGACGCCTGAAGCTGTTTTCGCCAGATTCGACCAACGCATCACCAATAGCTTTGACGCGGAGGAGATGGCTGCACTGAGCAGAAACTTCAAGGAGATTTGCGACAATGATGGCCATGTTTCTGAACCAGCATTTACGACATTTGTGCTCTCGAAGACTCGTCTCTCACCCGCCCTGACGAAGGCCGTTCATATCCTGTTCGACAGTCTTTGTTACCTGAGTCAGGTCCCGCTACAGGCAAAATCACCGCCACCAACTCATCTGACCCTCGATGGCTTGAAACGCGCTTTAATGTGGATACTCCCCAGTAGGGAAAGATCGGTCATTAATGCGACTGTGGGTCACCGCGTTAGACGTCCAGCTGATCACACAAGGCTCATCTTCCAGAGTCTAGCAACCTCTTACGACAATTTCCATGTACCTCCTGACGTCCGGGCCGTACAGTCGTTAGTAGTCCACAACGTGGCTAGGATCTCAGCTGAACAGATACACGCCTTTCAAGATGCAAGGATGCATTTCGATGAGGATGGTGATGAGATGTACCACGATGTCTTGGACGTTCTTGTGTCTACACAGCCGTACGTCCCTCCTGGTTTCGCAGAACCAAGTCGCGACGCCTTTCGTGCGCTGGCAAAGAAGCTGCACGAAGGCGCGCCATCTCTGTACGAGTTGGTCGTACCGCAACTCCGTTTAGAGGCTTTCCTTTCGCTACTAATCGCGACAAACTTCGTAGACGGTGTTTTGGACGCTGATCAAGATCTCGAGTTTGTTACACGTTGCATAGCTGCAAGCTTTCGCCAACGTCTAAACCTGAGGTCAGTCGATGATCGATCTGCTGAATGTCAATCTGTTCCTAACAGAGGGAGTACATGGGCAACGTTCCATTTCGCCATCTCTAAACTGCTCGTACGGCATCATTCCTCCATTTAAGATCACAGGAGGCTAACATCCTGCAGCCCCATCTCTTCGATCCTCTGTATGACCTCCTAGGCAAAGTTTTCTTTGACCAACTGTGTCCACACGACGCTAATTCAGGGTATCTTCCAACAGCTGAGCTTGGCGCAGTTCTTACCCTCCCTCGAATGGCTCAGCTGGAAACGTTTCTGTTCAATTCGATCTGTATGGCCGACATTCGACGCTTCCAAAGCCATCCGCACGCGACAGGACCAACGGCTTCAGATCTAATGAGAGATATCAACGCCATTCCAGAATGCGCATTACTCATCATATCGGGTCATGCAGCTGCGGGGGAGACGTACGTATTCGGTGCTTTCGTCTCTCAACCGTCCATAGAAGGGCTTTCCATCCAGAGTGGTGACACACGCTTCGAGGAGACAGCGTTGCTATTCCAACTCAGCCCTACCCATGATGTGTTCCGAGGCCAGGTAGGCAAGCCGGCCTGGTCGGCGACCGAAAAGGGAATTGTGTTCGGCAATGAAGATCATGGTGCTGCCTTGATCTTGGATGAGCGTTTGACGGATGTTCGGTTCACACACAACCCGTCTGGGAACATTGAGTATTTCGTCTATCATCCGACTGCGCATAGGGGACAGTTCGAAATAAACTTCGCCATCGAGAAAATTGAACTGTGGGCCGAGGGTTCATAGTAAGCTAGGCCGAGACGCCCCGAGGAATCGAAGCATCCGATATCAAGCGACCCTACGCATTTGGGAACACTGACTTTCTGCTCTGCTTAAATTGCTGTCAACTTCTACGCGAAATCATACGTGTTGATCTAGGTAGTGACCGCCTTTCAATCCAGATTACCAGCAAACCATTGATCACCAACCCTGTAGCCTAGTGGAAGTGGGTCTGTCGAGTCGAGCATGGATTGTCGGTAGCCAATGAGCCATGCGCGACCCTTCAATTGAGGCAGAACAGCATCCTACTCCCCAACCTTAGTCATACCTTGGATCTGGCATATGAACTCGGTTCGAATGATGCTGCGATGCTTACATGTTTCGCCCTCCTTCAACTCTCCTCTTGCGTGCAACACAGCCATCCTTGCCGCAGTTCCTATTCCACATGGGCTTCGATCCAATCTTCTAGGCGAGATGATGACGGTATTATTCGCGGTATTTGTTCCATCGGCCTCGGGCTGTAGTAGCTCTGTCCACTCCAGAATGACGACGCCGTGCATTTCATTAGGCTCAAAAGACTCAATGACCGCAGCCTTGATCAACTCGTCGAGCTTTACAAGCTCCGGACCATGCTTGTGCTTGATCGTCAGGCCAACCGAGGCAGCTTCAACGAGCACGTAATGTATGCCTCCCCATGCTATGTTGACTGACACAACGTCCAAGCCAGGCGCACTCACCTTGGGGTTGCAGGGTGCTAAAATCATGTTATGCACTGGGCTGACTTTCTACGAGGCTCTTGCATAAGTAGAAGTCGTGTGTCGCCTGCGTGGTCCCTGAAGTAGCAAAGCCTCTCATACATGATCTTGCCGTGGACTGGGTCCAGGACTCCTCCAACAATGACGTCTCCGACTTCTCCTTCCGCATGGACACCGACGATATAATAGTCCACTTGAAGGGTATGGTGTACCGGTAAAATCTTGCTAAATCACTCTGGTCGTAAGATTGTAATGTCCGGGGTGGTCTGGGAGAGATTAACTGAGTTGGTAGGCAGGAAGAACAAGGTCTTAAAATCTCTTCAATAACTTCGATGTCTGGACAGATTCAGCGCTACCTTATATCGATATGCAGGTGAACATGTACACTGTCGGCATTCCCATGACTGGTCCCTGGACTGCCTATCGGAAGTCACAACCCCTAACCGTTGGTAGGAGCCGATCTCGGACCAATGCTTGGTCTACAATGTCTGAAAGAGCCACTCTCGGTCGCAGCATTTTCTTGTGTAAGGCCTGAGCTCATGTACATCATTTCGTGGGCTACAAGATGAACATGATAGCTCCCGGTGCCCTTCGATACGGTGCAAGGCGGACAACGAGTTTGAAATTCTGCATGTGGACGTGGTTCACTGGCATTATTATACTGTTTGGATTCGCGCAGGGGCTGTAAGAAGCCATTGCGTGGTCATTCGCGTTGTTTTCTTTTGGTCATGCCATCCACTGGAGTACCCAGTAGCGGCAGCTGCTTATATGACATAACCGCTGCTACAATCTTCGATACATGCTGTCACAACAGTGAAGGATCTAGCTGATCAATAGAGCTTGCAGCCCAAGTCCAGTCCAGCCCGTTGAGGTTCATCGCGTTGGCAACAGCCTCCAGTTGTTCACTGCTCAATACTTCCTCCACGTCAAAGCTATGAGCGGACATGTGCTCGACTTCAGACTGCATAGATCCAATAGTGCCCGGTTGATTCGTGTCGAAGGGTTGCAGTGCAAACGGATCATTTCCGTCGTTCGAGTTGAGTCGTGTCAGTATCTGTTGACCGGGGCCTATAGACTCCAATGCCTCGAGTGTCTCTTTGAGTTGCGCAAGCTGTTACCCACCGATGCTATCTCATTAAGTACATCGAAAGCTGTCCGCACAGGCAGCGCTCTCATTAGTCAGCTCGTTTGATTAGCTCCCGCACTAGCGCACTGTAGATATCGCCCCGCTCTGATAGCTTCAATACAACAACGCCCTTATCACCATATACTCCCTCATCAGGTTATGAGCCCTCTCTTAACGACCGCGATTGCAACCATGCAGTAGTACACCTTGTCAATAGCGCAGGTACTATCGCAGCGCCTTCCTGGTGTTGAGAGAGGCGTTTCCGCACTCAGCAACTACCCCACCAAAAGACGGAGTTACCCCGCCATCCATTCCACCTCCCCCCCATACAACCATCACCATG